ACTTTCTTCCCTTTCTTCTATTTCTACGCCTCCTATAGAAATCTTCTGGTTATCATCTACTTCTTAACCTTTTTTCTTAAACCTCATATACTGAGTTTTCTTTGGCTCAAGATCAAGTCCTAACTTATCCAGCTCCTTTTTCAATGATTCAATTGCCCTTTCCAACTGGTTCTTCAATTCGGCATTCTTTTTACCTGTAACATACACAGCTATATCATCTGCAAATTGTAGCACTTTTACGTTATCCTCTATATTCTTAACAATATCTCTTGTGTAAATAGCATAAAGCAACGAACTAAGCACACCACCCTGTGGTAAACCTTGTCTCACCATCCTTGTCATCTCTTCATCCTCTCCTATTATGAACTTGACTTCTCTTTCTTCTAACCAGAATTTTAAAAATTTTATAAATCTACCGGGGCAGTTTACTTTTTGAAGTTTGTTTATTAAAATATCTCCCTTCACATTATCATAAGCACCCGATGTCCAAAAAGGCTGCTAGTGTAACTTCATTTTCTCTGTAGAAACCATTTTTAACATCTACAACTAATTCCATTAGATTATCCATAACTCCTCTTCCTCTTCTAAAACCATTTTGTTTACCGTCTAACAGCTTTTTTTTCTCAATCCACCAGTTAAATAATTCATTTATTAGTTTCTCCATCAGTTTTCCCACACATGAGGACAACGAGATAGGTCTCTGGAATTCCTCTTCAGTAAATTTTTTTTCCATTTCCTTCTCCCAGTTCCTTAACTCCCCTTTTCTGCCTTCCTCCCTTTTTCCAATTTCCACGTTAACCCAGTCCCTTCCCAGCTCACTAATTTCCTTTCTTATTTCTTCTTTCCTATCTTTGTGTTTTCATAAGTTCCAGTCAACTACCGTATTTTTGTTTCGCAATAACCTCATTCTATTCCAAATATACGTCATTCCCATATTCTTATTAATACCTTTCACGAACTCTAAGAAACCTTCTTTCTTCTTTCTTCTTATAATCCTTCTCGCATCATACTTGCTCCCATTCTTCGAACTTTTTCTTAGTTCTTTCCTTAATGAAATCTTTCAGTGCCTTTTTTCTTTTTTCGATTGCTTCTTAACACTCCTGGTCCCACCATTCATTTGCCCTTGCTTTCTTTTTTCCCCTCTCAAGCTGAGTATTCCCTCCCTCCTTCACTTTACCGGCCCTTCCCTTTTTGGTATTCTCATCTCTATCTTTATTCCTTCTCCCTGAAGCTATATTTATTTCTTCTACCATCAATTCACAGAGTTGTTTATATCTATCCTCCCATTTTGCTTTCCTGTATTCTTCCAATCCCAGTTTACCACTCTTTCCCTGCATCCCTTCTTTATAGATTTTCCAGTCAGTTTTTACATTACTTATTCTATTTGTCTTTTTCCTATAAGCTTTCTTACCAAAGTTAATGTCAAATACCACTGGATGATGATCACTTCCCCATGTATCCTCTAGCTGCTCATACTTTATACCACCCTTTACATCTTTGCTGACAAACAATAAGTCCAGGTTAGAACCTCCTCTCCTATGATCTCCAGTCCAGGTCTTAGTTTCTTCATTTACTATGTATAAATCTTTTTCCTCCATTGCCGTATTCAATATTTCCCCCATCTGGTTAGTCTTCTTACAATTCCATATCACATTATGCGCATTAAAATCGCCTCCTATAACCCACGTATCATTGACTTTCTTCCCAACAGTGAGATTATCCCAAAACTCTTTTCTTGTCCTTTGATCCGGCTTCCTGTATACTCCCACTATCGTTATATTTTTCTTTTCTCCTATTAGTTTAATCATTTTAGTTTCCACTGCCCCCTGACCTCCCCTACTATCATGCCTTTCTTTAACCATTTCCCACTTAATTCCTCTCTTAACCAATAACACTACTCCACCACCACCGTGCCTCGTGATTCTATCTTTTCTTAGTGTTTCATATCCTCTAAATCTTATCTTTTCGCCTTCTTTTAAATGTGATTTAGTAATTATCCCCACATCCACTTCCTTGTCCTTAAGTTGAAAATTCAGTTCACCCATTTTACCTTTAATACCTTGACAATTCCATACCAGTACTCTAGTCCCCATTTTGTTCGTCCCCATTTAATTCGTCCTCTCTTCTCAGGTTCCCTTTTCTTCCTGATTTTTTCCTCTATCTCATAATGTTCTTCTTTAGTCGCACCTTCTTCATACTTCTCCTTTCCTCCCTTTTCTTCTAGAGTAGTCCCTTTTCTTGTTGATTCATTCTCTCTGCCTTTTCTTTCGATTACTTGTTCGTTTCTCTTTCCTTCCCTTTTGTTCTTCAGTAAGTTAACCATTTCCAACCATTTATGTTCCCATCTACTCTCCATCCCCTCCATTCTCGCCTCAACTTTCTTATAACAGCTTATTTCAATTCTCTTTTCCATTTCTATAATCTTGTGTTGTAGACTTTCCATGAAGCGTGTTACAATTTTATCCACCATATCATCATATTCGTAACGGATCGTTTCCTTCATTACCTCAAAAAATTCCCTTACACATTCTCTTATCTCAGTTCTTACAAGCTTTATCCTCTCTTCCTTGTCTTCATTAAATATCTTCCTCACCTCTTCTATAATCTCTCTTCTCATGTTATCCTTTCTACCTTCTGCTCCTTTGTCCTTCTCTTCTAGTTTATCAGTAGTACCCGAAACTACATTACTCCAGCTTCTCATTCCGTCTTCCATATTGATTCTGATATTACTCGCCTGTCTTCCTTCCTTCTTTTATACCTAATTCACTTCTTCTTATATTCTTTTCCTCCTCTTTTTGGAAAACTTTTCTCTTAGCTTCAAAGTTTGACATTCTCTCCTCAGCTATAACCTTATTTACCTCCATAAGCCTTAAGTACATCATGCATTGTCTATCGTTGGCCTTATGGTTACCTTTACAGTTTACGCATTTCTCTTTTTCGCTACATTTACCATAAAATTTCTCCCCACATGCCACACAAACTCTATTCCTTCTACAGTTATCTTTCCAATGCCCAAAACCATAGCATTGAAAGCACTGCATAACTGGTTCTATGAATGGACGAACACTGATCTTACTTTTTCCATCAAATATATTTATTTCTTTTGGGATCTCCCGTCCCTTAAAAGATACAACAAAGAACCTTGTTAATCCCCATTCAACTCTTTTCTCATTTTCCAAGAATATTCTCCTTCTAAGTCTTTCTATTCCTATAATAAGCTGCTTATTATCAATAGCCTCAAGTAATTCCTCTTCGCTCCCAATCCAGTCTGTAATAACACCCTTACTTTTCACATTCCTATTCATTATAATATATTCCGTCTACCATTCTGCTCATTCAACCTTAGGCATCTATTCGTTTCCTCAACACCATCAAATATAATATCCGACGCTATAAAGCTGTTTTCCAGTATCTCCTTATATTCTACTTTATCCTTCATCACTTGAATTAAAATCAGCAAAGAGTTAGTTCTTTTACTACCCGTTACATATTCCCTTTTCAATCTGCAAGTCACTATGTACTCTTTTCCATTAAAGCCACCCTCAAAAAACTTTATTCCTCCAAAGGCTATTGCTTTCTCTTGATCCGTCATTTCTTCAAGCCTTTTAAAGCTCTCACCCACTCTAAGAACCTTCGAAAAAATTCTATTCTCCTTTCTTTTCCGTACTATAACTCCTATCTCCTTTCCTTTGTCATTTATTTCACAAATCTCAGTAGTTTCCATTTTCTCACACATCGTTGATTCTCGTTCCACATTTCCTTTTACGCTTTTCTCAGTATCGATCAACGCTTTTCCAGCAGCTACTTCTTCTAACTCTACATCATTACATCTCTTTTTTCTCATTTTCTTCCCTATAATTACCTGACTACCTTTATTACCTTTCTCTACTCTTTCACTTTCATTCCCTTTATCTCTTCTCAATCTCAATCCCTATCTCAATCTCTTTAAACCTCTGCCTTTTTCTTTCATTGTTTCCCCTTTCTCGACCATAAATTTCTCAAATAATTCTTCTGAAAAACTTCCCCTCCTACTTAAACTTTCATATCCCTTTGTTACATTCAAATTCCCCTCTCCCTCTGCACCTGTATTACCTGGCATCTCCTTACTTAACCTCACTCCCGAATCTCCTTCTCTCGTCCCGTCAGGGATGTTTGAAGACCCCTATATTACTCCTTTCCCTACCCAACCCGCTCACTCTAAAGCACTTAATTATTACCACTATTTTTAATACTACACTACTATTTTAAACAAAAGATTACTAATAATCTTAACCACGTCCTATCAAGCCGGCGGTTAAACCGGAAGAGCGTCTCATGTTTATATCACGTATCATATAACGAATTGTAAGGGTCTTGGTTGCCCTTTCGGCGTATCCGTTTCTTTCCGTTAACGTTTGAATACGCGCTCCTTGAATCTTTATTGTTTTAGGTGTAAAATAAGTCGCGGATAGCAGCCCTGCTATCACGTACTAGGCAACTTATTTCACGGTGCAGGTGACGGAACGTGATTAATGACTAATGATGAGAACAATTAATAAATGTTTATTATAACGTACAGATCCTTTGTTCCTTACACTTGTTTCGCCAAGTCATACATGAGAAGTCTATCTTAACTCGTACACACACGCACGTGCCCGATCCGTGCTTCACGGTCGCACTAATAAAACACAAATAATACTGTCCTCACTATCGTTATTCTACTAACGTTTCAACCAGACTAAATCTGAACAGATACGCGAACTACTTCCGTACCCACAGCGTTAATTCGCTTTAACTAAATGGGTTTATCCCTTGACCTTAACCGGCCCACAAAACCCGGAGCTCTTAGCTCTTTTCGCTACGCGAGACTCTCTCCGATCTTCTCCTGATCTCTCGCTGGTCTCTTTCTCGACTGCCTCTGGACTCTCCGGCCTTCGTCTCTAACTACCTATTTGAACTATCGGCGCAAAGGAGAGGGAACCTCAGCTCTCGCTACGACAAAAGGCTTTGATCTAACAACGTTAGATGGCGCTACTTATTCTAATTTCTTACAGTATCATGTATGTGGTTATGTATGCTAAATGAATTAATATTTAGTTTTGTATTGATAATTATTATTCTGTTTGTAAGACAATGATTGTGATTTATTAATAATAATAATAAATGTAAATATACTTTATACGAATTGACTTTCTATTTATCAGTTAATAATTGGCATCAATTTATCATCTGTATTGTGATATGTAATTCTTTTATTCGTTTTTTATTCTGCAAAATTTAACAAATATTCTTATAGAAAATTGTAATTTGTTCGTTTTTTGTTATTTTAGAATGTTTAATTTTATAAAAATCAATTTAAATTTGATTTGGATCAGCTGTTAGAGAGAGCACAAACCTAGCTTAACCTAATGTCAATTTGCAACGACGTCAACCGCATGGTGATGTGCGTTAGGTTAGTCGCGCGTGAACCGCATGGCATATTTTAAACCGGATGATTTTGTAAGATATTTATTTTGGTAAATTATATGATATGATTAATCACGCGTATTAAACCAAATTAAAAGACGTCAATTGTCACCTATAATAACATGGATGCTGAGAATACGACGAAAATAGAACTTAGACAATCGAAGAAACGAAAAGGTGAAAAGCAAAAAGCCAATGGTAAGTTTTAATAATTTGACAATAAATTTATTCATTTATTAGATTTAGTATTACTTTTCGCTTGTTTGTGTGTGTGCAACAATACCTGTAATGTTTTGTTGCTGTATTATTAATTTTGGAATACCATATTATTATAAATATTTAAGATATCACATTTTTAATTACATATAATAAAAATAGAAACCTAATATTTTATAAAAATAAATAAATTTATATTAATACATATTTATCAATAAATATTCAATTAGTGTTATTAAATATAAAAAATATCAATAAATTAGATATAGTAAAATTAACAAAACAAAAATATATGTTAAAAGATGAAATTATTTTTTAATATTTATAAGCAGGTTAAATTTTTCATAAATGCATATTTATTTAATGAAATATTTACAAACTATCTATAATAATTGATTCATAAAGATCTCATTTAAGTTCACAAAAGCAATATAACAATTAAATATTAATCATTTTTTCTAAAGATAAAGTTTTGTATGAAAGAAATTTGACTTGAACTTTTGAACTTATCTTTTGAACTTATCTTATGATAAATTCTTTGTTTAGTTATATTTTAATTTTAAATGTATCCTGATTTTAGATATAATAAACTTTTTTTCATATAGATGCTGATACCAACAACCATTATAAAAAGAATAAGATCTTCCAGGAAAGTATTATACAAGAGAAACAAACAGGAAAGAAGAAAACAAAATTTATTGCACAGAGAATTGAAGATTCAGGAATTGGAGATTCAATGGAAAAAGTCAGGTAAGAAGTTATTACCTGACAATATTATATATGTAAAGAAATATTTTTCAAAATTATATTCTGGTCAAATATATCTTAGTAGCAATTATATTAAGTTTTAAAGTATTATTATATTTTCAGTAGATTCAGAAAAATTACTAAATTTAAAATTAATTCTAAAATTCTAAATAATTAAGAAAATAATTAATATTAATAAATAAAAAGATATGAAAAGATATAGCTGACAAAGATTTATGAAATATATTTGACCAAACAATTTATTTTAACAGTGATACAACTATTAGTAAAGATATCTTGAAAGAAGATATTGATGAGAATACAAAAACTTCGAAAAAACCATCTAAGAGACAATTAAAGAGAGAAAAGGCTCTACAAAGAGAAGCTCAAAAAAGACACGCCAGTAGAATAAGTGCCATGCAGAGGGCATTGAGTTATGTATCTAAGGTAGCTCTTATTTTTTTATATCAATAATTCTTGATACTTAAATAACTGATTCTAGAATATTATAAATACATAATATACATAATGTAAGTACAATGTAATTGTTTTTTTATAGTGGAAACATTCCAGGAGTGAATGGAAATTCGAAAAGATTAGACAAATTTGGCTGATAGATAATTTACTGGATGAAAACTCTATTTCTGATACAATTTTCCCTGTTGTTTTGGAATACTTTGAAGGTTGTAAAGGAATGGCACGGGAAATATTATTAAGAAAGGGAATGGATATTATAAGAAAGGCAGAAGAGGACGAGGACGAAGAGAGCAGGAATGGAATTATGGAATCAGTCGCTTATAAAAGAGCAAGGCAGCTTCTACAAGCTTTACCGACCGATAGATAGTTTTAAATTTCAAAAATTTTTTATTGACCGTAAAGCGTTGAAAAATAGCACTTAAAATTCTTTGTGCGTCAATTCTGAAAGTGATGGTATATGACAAAATTTCTTTATCTCAAAATGCAATGTGAGAAAAAAAATGATAGTGTTTGAACTGGAGTGTAAAGTTAAACTTAATTATGTTAAAAGCAGGAAACTTCCAACATTTTTAAAAATTTGTATAATATTGAGAGAAGAAATAGACAATGGCTGCATTTGCTTTGGGCGCTTATGCGCTGTAAGCGCATTCTATCTTCTTCCCGCATGTAATGAGCGATAGAGATAGAATGACGCTTACAGCGCGTAAGCGCTCAAAGCGAACGCAGCCAATATACTCTGTATACCTAAATATATTGAATATTATTCGATATAACAGTTGTTGTATTATGTGCGATGTTATGTATATATGCATATGAACGCGGTTTTTTCACATTACTGTGATAAATAAATGAATACAGAATAAATTGTTTGTACAGATATATTGCCTTTCCTTGGAAAGAAATAACAATTTTGCCACTTTACAAATGTTTGGGAATTTCCAGCTTGAATTAATATCTGACACATCTCGAAACATTTGATGTTAAATTAATAGTATAATTTTATTCAATAATTTAAATTTATGAAATAAAGATGTTTACATTTAAAATACAAACCATGCCATCATTTTAACCAAAATTTATTAAATCTAGTGATGTAAGCGCGCGCGCGCGCACGTGTATTGATTGTCAAACAAATCAGTCTGCATGATATGTTGAAATACAATTACTTTGTAATCAAGAAATTTGCTATAAATATATTTGAAATATTTTTTTAAATGCCACACACACACACGTGTGTGTACATATATACATGCATGTATTATATATATATATATATAAATATATATATATATATGTATATATATATATATATATATATATATTATATATATATATATTATATATATATATTATATATATATATATGTGTGTGTGTGTGTGTGTATATTTATTTTTATTATAGAAATTTTTCAATACAAGTAAAATAAATTGCTTCTTTAACACACTACAATCGTTACAAACAATTTATGTAACAACTTTTAGCTATATTATTCTGCATACTTGTTAACAAACTGTCTAAGTTTGTCGGTATCTTGAAGACCGACAATTCTCTCTAAAACTTTTCCATCTTTCATAGCAATGAGTACAGGTACAGATCCAACCTGAAAAATAATATAATTAAATATATAAAATTTTTTTCTACTTTGCATTATATTTTAAGGCTCTTAGATATTAGGCTCTTAGTTGTTGAGATTATTTTGATTTATGATGTCAGAAGCAAGGAAATGTATACCCAAAATTCCTGCAAAGTATATCGTAATAAAAAAATGTACTCAAAAAGACACTACGATCGCTTAAACATGTCTCTAAAATACACCTTACACTTTCCTTATGTTCTAACAATAACAATAAATAAATTGTAAATTTAATGTAACAAAATCACGAGAAAAAATAGGTTAAAAAGAAATGTTGCATGTCATGTTAATTTTACGGTTATTTATTGCTTGTTAGAGGGAAGTATTTAGAATATTTTAGAAATGTACAATTGATTGCAAGTATCATCATTTGAATATTTTTTTTTATCTCAACATACTTTGCAAGAATGTTGAACATGTAATTTTTCATTCATAATATCATTAATCAAGATGTCTACAGCAAATGCTTAGGAGCTATAATGACAGATTTCTTAAATATTAGGAAATGTTATGAAAAGAAAAACAAAATTTTTTACTTTGGAAAAGTTGTGATTCTCTCTCTAAACTCGACTTGTTTTGGTGTCAGCTTGTATAGAAATAAATCAACAATTATACTGTCTCTGTTTATATGTATACAAAAACTCACATGGTAATCAAGAGCAAGGTCTGTGTTTTCATCAATATCAACTTTGGCTAATAGTATCTTTCCTCGCTTTTCAGCAATAATAGTTTCTATTCTTGGAGTTAACATGCGACAAGGATTACACCATCTGGAACAATAATGTTCAAATTATGATTTAATTAAAAAAATAAACATTAAAAGATCTTATAAAACATTTGTTTGCTTTAATTAATTCAATTATAAGTTAATTTTAATTAGTTTATTATTAATTTACTATTAGTTATAAATTAATATCTAAATTATATTCCAATATTTGTTTTGTAATATAGATATTTTAAATATATTGTATATATTTAATACTTATAAGTAAATTTCTATAAAAAAAGTGCTATACATATATATATTTATGAAAATTCTTTATATACAAAAATTACTCCATTAACAAAGTATAATCGATACAAATAATTTACATAACTTTTACATAAACCTGTTTCTTAAATTTCTTAAGCTTATATACCTATACAGTATTATATTGCATGTTTATGATACATATATATACATACATATTTATTTACTTAAAAAATTATCAGTTTTCACAAAATTTATAATTTAATAGTAATATATAATTATCTCAGGAATAATATTACGATTACATACTTACGTTGCAAAAAAGTCTATAATAACTGGTACTTTGGAGTTCTTCACACGCTCATCAAAATCTTTGAGATCTTGAACTTTAAAAGTAGCAGTTACCATCTGTTCCTGTGCAGGTGCAGTAGCATATGCTCTGCTACCTAGGATATTGCAAATACTTCGAATACTGCACACTCCTATACGCTGCATCTTTATTAATTTTCAGCTGTTAACAAATATATAATAAAAGTATTATACAATTTTTTTATGTTTTAGTTTCTCCACCGTGTTGTAATCTTCCCCGAAGATACTTGCGGTTATTTGACACAGTATTGTCGAATATTATATATAAGGTTAACCCGTAACAGATACGATGCCTTTTTAGTCAAGCTATAGGTATAGTGGGGTCCGGCGGACCTCAATAAATTTTTGCCATTTTTAACATGATAATAAAAGGTAGAAAGAAAAACATTTTATAGTTCAAAAATAATACTTTACAAATATTATATTACAACTAGACATATATGATAACAGTTTGAGATAAGATCTCAGTTTTTCAGTAATCTAAAAGAAAACGTTAACTGATTATAAAATGAACACAATGTGGATAGTGTTGAAATAAAATACACTGAAAGACAAATCGGAAAAAGAAAAAATGTATATTTTAATCTAAGTTCACAAATTATAGATTATATACAAATATAAACAAATATTGTTAAATTAAATATAATATTAAAATCTTAGAGGGTTTTTAGATGCAATTTTTACAGATAGTGCTTGCATATTTGGTGCATACTGGTTTATTGCATCTAACATATGTATCTAACTCTTTGGACTTCATATCTTTACTTCTAGGATTACTTCTTATTACATCTTACTCTGGGTGGCAAAATAATTTTAGATCTTTCAATTTCTAAAATAGATGAAATTATTAAACACAATGGTTTATGAATATATTGAGTTGTAAGACGTCTCTTAAGTTCAAGTTCTACTAACTGAAAGGCAAAAGCTTTTACTCTTTTGTGTGAAGAATGAGTCATATTGAGCTGAAGATTAAGAAAATTATTTTCATAAAATTAACGTTAATGGTACAATGGGGTCACTGTGACCCCAGATGAAAAACAAATGCATATAATTCACAGCTACTTACAAATAACTCGATTATCTTTTCTTCTGTCACACTGAAAACTGTTACTCAAAAGATATTGAAGATATTAGCGCCATACAGTGGATAGTTTAGGAATTATCACGAAAATAAAATTAGTTGGAGTCCTTGGGGTCCTATTGTACCTGTTATGGATTAAACTCATAGTTCTTAGATTTTATTAACTTCTTTCATATTATTCTTTTATTTCATGGCCATTTATAGATAATTACGTTTGTGTAACTGATATTTCTGAACTTAAAGCGGATATATTAAATTATGGTACAAAGCACACACAGAGAAATTCATAATAAAAGTTTTATTAAACAATCCCAGACAACATAATGTCTAAAATCGGGACATAAAACGTCTTAAAGATCATCTTTAAAATGTCATTCAAACGATTTACGTATAAAGATTATTTTTAAGACGCCTTATGTCCCGATTTTAGACATTATGTTATCTTGGATAAAAATTCAGAATAAATAAATATATTTATAGGTTGCATTCCACACAGCTTTCAACACTCCTTTTGAAGGAAAGTTTTCCAAAAACATATATGTAGTGTGAGAGCTATAGATTTTTAGTAAAATCTTCCTCAAAAAAAGGACTTAAAAAAGGACGTAATTAAATTTAACTCTCTTCAAATTTAATTGCGCATTTTGTTACCTGACGTACTTATATCGTTAATTTGCAGAATTATTTTCACAATTTTCACTATTGTTTTTCTTAAAAAATAAATTATTTTTCCTTGTATATTAAAAAAAATCCTTATTTTCTTATAACAATTTCTGCGATTCACTTGAGGTTATTTCTTTGAAGAACTTTGGTCTATGTTCTATAGTCTGTTCTTTTTAGCTGTATGCTAAGCTGGTGAAATAAGTTAAAGTGAGACAAGTTATATGTTTTCTCACTTTAACTTATTGCACCAGTTCTGGGGGTCGATTGTGTATCTCAAAACAAAATGAAATTGACAAAAGTGAGTAAATTTACTAGAATACTTGTAACTTTATTGGTCAATGCCTAGTAAATTTGCTCACTTTTGTAATTTTCACTCCGTTTCGAGATACACAATCAACCTCCTGGTAGCGATCATGAATCTTTTCCCCTAGTGTGAACTCGTGAAAAATGAAAATTTTGTAATGAACTCATAAAAGATGAAAGATTTAAAGTGAATTTGTAAGTAAAATAAGTATTACAATAGGTGCTTTCCAGCTACGTTACATTGTGTTACACAAAACCAGTTTATTGATTACATATTATCTAAAATATCTTGTAACATAATATGCAACCAATAAACTGGTTTTGTGTAACACAGTGTACGTAGCTGGAAAGCACCCAATATACTCAAGACAACACCAATTTGTAATGGACATTTTTAGAATTTTTTCAGCATGTTTTTAAAACTTAGTGATGTCTTTAGAACGTCCCTTGGAAGTCTTCTTGTTTGGGGTTACTTTAGAATAAATTATTAAAAGATAAAATATTATATTCATATTAAAATTATAAATCTGCAGAAAATATATATTTCACATAAAGGCTGCGTTCCGAATTGCGTTGACAGTGCTGACAGTACTGTTTTCGCGTTCCGAAGTATGCTGTAAGAAAACAAAACTTACTACCTTTTTCATGAAAATAGGTTCTAGGAAATTGCTGACTTCCAGCTAATTCCGCACATTATTTCGAGGTAGTGCAGGTTCAGTAATGCATATGGCATCTGTTTCTCAAGTGATAAGTATGAAAAATGGCCTTAGGCCCGATTACACCAACGTTATTTTGGTTTTAAGTGACACTTAAATATATATATATATATATATATATTTTTTTTTTTATTTATATAGAAAGAAAGATAAAGATAGATATATGTTTAAGTTTTGCTTAAAGCCAAAATAATGTTGGTACAACCAGGCCTTAGTAAAATGTACAGTAATTGACGCAACTAAAAATAAATAATACGAAATATTGTTATCTCAATAAGATTACGAACAAGCATTATCAGGGT